CCTGCAACCAATTCTGGCACAAGAAACTTGTCCCGACCAACACCATCACCTCCAGACCACCTCAAGGATGGCTCGGTGCCAGATCCAATCAGTCCGTCAAAGCCCTGAAATGGTTAGCCTGGCAAGAACACCTGTTACAACATACCGACCAAGGCGATTGTATCCATACCGTACGAAACGGAGGCGAAGTCCGCCTAGCCAATCACCTCGTCGACGGTTACGATCCCACTACTAGAACCGTCTACGAATTCCACGGATGTCTATGGCACGGGTGTCCTCGATGTTTCCCAATCAACCGAGAGAGATATCCCATCTATCACACTGATCGCACTCTACAGGAAGTCTACGAGTCCACGCTCAAGAAACATGCCCTTCTCAGGCAATGCGGCTACCAGCTACACGTCAAGTGGGAATGCAAGTGGGACCTGGAGGTCAAAACCGACCCAGAGCTCCGCCAGTTCCTAGACGCGTTCCAAATCGTCAAACTGCTCGAGCCCCAAGAAGCCTTCTTCGGAGGTTGTACGAACGCCGTCAAACTGCATCACGTGACCAACGTGACCCAAGGAGAAAAAACCAAGTACGTCGACGTGACGTCGCTCTACCCATGGGTCAACAAGGATTCCGAATACCCCGTAGGACAGCCACAAGTCATGGTCAACCCCGAAGATAAAGACATACACCACTACTTCGGAATGGCCAAAGTGGACATACTACCTCCTCACTAACTATTCCATCCCGTTCTACCTTTTCGACACAGAGGTAAACTCACCTTCCCAGTCTGCCGCTCGTGCATGGAAAATGAAATGGCCAAACCACTCTTAGAGAAATCTCATCACTGCCCTCACACGGCTGAGCAACTCACACTCCGAGGGACCTGGTGCACACCCGAAATCCAGAAAGCCGTTCCCATGGGATACACGCTCAACAAGATCCACGAAGTACACCATTTTCCACCTGAACAACGCCGCAAAGGACTCTTTGCCGATTACGTGAACACCTGGCTAAAAATTAAACAGGAATCCGCTGGCTACCCCAACTGGTGCAACACACCCGAAGACAAGGGACATTACGTGCACCAATACCAACAGAAAGAAGGCATCGCTCTCGATCCAACCATGATCCAGAAAAATCCCGGATGCAAAGCGACTGCCAAACTCATGCTCAACTCCTTCTGGGGCAAGTTCGGTGAAAATCTACACAAATCCACCACCCAAGTCGTCTACAACGCAGCGCAACTCTTTGCCCTCGTTTCCAACCCCTTCAACGACATACGACAAGTCAGAATCGCCAACGATGAAGCTCTAGAAGTCGTCCACACCGAACTCAAAGACAATCAACCTGACAATGGACGAATCAACATGTTCGTCGCAGCTTTCACCACCTGCTGGGCTCGTCTCAAATTGTAAACATACCTGGAAGAGTTAAAGCAACAAGTTCTCTACTTTGACACTGATTCCGTCATCTACTTGCACAAACCAGGTCAAGCCGATGTTCCGCTAGGCGATTACCTGGGCGAGATGACCAACGAACTCGACGATGGCGATTTCATCCCCGATTTCACCGCCGCTGGACCCAAAAATTATGGATACAGAACCAACCAAGGCAAAGTCTGCTGCAAAGTACGAGGCTTCTCACTCAATGTACGAGGATAAAGGCAACTGAATTATGACGTCACGCGACAAAATCTCCTCGACGAACTCACACAACCTCTCGAGGATGAACGACGGAATATCAATGTCATCAACCCCAACTTCTTCTGGAGAAACCCCGCCACCAAACACCTCAAAGTCATCACACGGACAAAATGCTAAGGACTCGTCTTCGACAAACGTTTCATAGACCCGAACACTTTCATGTCGTTTCCGTACGGATACACACCAATGTAATTTTTTACTTCCTGTAATCAATAAAAATCAATTGTGAAACTCACTTCCTGTCTCGAGCCTTATTTGGGCATGCGCGAGCTGTGACGTCACGGGCGCCATGTTTGGCTACCAAAGGGGCCATCTTGGATTTTAAATTTTAAGAGAATGTATGGGAAAAACTTGGTCACGTGGTATAATCCCTGCACGCTGATTGGTTACGGCCCCTATGAGCGTGCTTCACTACTTATAACACTCTATGCTTTTATGTAACTATTTGCTTTCTACTTTCTTATTGCAGTGTTAAAATAAATGAATATTAACCAAAACAGAAGTCCATTTTTACCTTTGATAATCCCAGGATGAATGTTATCTATTAGGCCTAATGCTTCATGTTTACCCTCACCTGAAACAAATAGTTAGGAAATTGTAGCACTAAATAACTGTGAAATGTCACTGATTTACTTCATTGAATATTTTTTTTAAAACGAATAGACCACAGTAATTTATAAATGGGGTATTTATGAATTTTATTTTCAGTGCTAGGGACAGATGATCACTGTTAGGGACAGATGATAAGTGATAGGGACAGATGATAACTGTTAGAGACAGATGATAAGTGCTAAAGACAGATGATCAGTGCTAGGGACAGATGATCACTGTCAGGGACAGATGATTAGTGATAGGGACATATGATAACTGTCAGAGACAGATGATCAGCACTAGGGACAGATGATCACTGTTAGGGACAGATGATAAGTGCTAAAGACAGACGATCAGTACTAGGGACAGATGATCAGTGCTAGGAACAGTTGATCACTGTTAGAGATAGCTGATCTGTGCTAGGGACGGATGATCAGTACTAGCGACAGAAGATCAG